GAAATTTGACTTGTCAATACTCTAATTAAGAAATTAGAAGCAATAGAAATGAATTAAGAGCATGTTGAACAATTGGTAAGACTTTTAAATTCAAGGGTTCTAATGAGATATTGTATGATTTGATGAGTTAAAGTAATATAAGAAGGTTTGAGTAAGTATATTTGAGTTTGATGAAGTAAAAGAAGTAATAGAGTGGAAATTTAATAAGTTATGGAAAATTTTCGAGTGAAACAAGTAAATTCTTGGCAAGGGGTATCGGTATTGTTCAATACCGATATTTCAAAGAGAAAAGAAGTAGTAATTGGGGTATGGCTATCGATACTGGTTGAATGAGTATCAATACCCTAAGGCAAAAATTCATATAATTATTCATAGAGTATAGATATCAATGAGTAGGTATCGGTACCATAATATAGTAGTATCGATACTATGTTAAGGGTATCGATTTCAGACAACAACAAATCTAATATTAGTATCGATACCGGAGGGGGTATCGGTACAATAGCATAGAAGTATCGGTACTGTGAGGGTAGTACCGATACTACTTAAGTTGGAAAGTAGAAATTAGTAGTTTGATTAGCTTGCAATAGTAAGAATCTTTGCAAGTAATTCAAATTCCGATATAATTGGATTGTGTATTCATGTAGATAACGATCGAGAGCAAAGTTCGGATAAGTCGACCAAGTAATAGTCCTCGAGAAAGAGATAAGTGATCGACATTGACTAGTGAGGCCAGATGAGTGCATAATAATATTAAATATGATTTGATGAGAAATTATACTTGCGATAAGTTTGTTTCCTACATGTTGAAATATATAACTTGTATGCCTTATATGTCATATGAACATAAGAGGACAGAAAATAAATTATATGATATAACATAAGTGAAGGTATGCATATATGATATATGTTATGAAATAAGATATATATGGTTACATGAGACCTATGAGAAAAGATATATGTGACATGTGAATTATATGGAAATGATCTATGTGTAAGTGAACTACGTGACTATGTGATCATATGAAAATGTGATAATGAGCTATGTGAAAGAACTACAAGATTATGTGCTTATGTGATATGAATATGTGAATGTGTGATAACATAAAAGATAATGCTCATGTTATGTGTCATGAGATCTAGAGGTATAGTTGGCATACTAAGAGTTAAGGGTTCTATGTGGTCCTTCGGGACATATATGTAATCCTTTGGAACATATATGCGGTACTTCGGTACACTTATTTGGTCAATTGGAATATGTATATAGTTCTTAAGGAGTGGGCCTTCGGGACATATGTGATAATGTGGTCCTTAAGGACATAGTGGTCATTCGGGACAAATCCTACGCGCCCCTAGTAGGAATTATACGAGCTGTGGTGACAACATATGTGCTCAACCTCTATGTACTCACATATCTTTAGTTCTCACATGTGTACATGGGCTAATAAAAGAGATGATATAGAAACCGTGTATGATACTATGTGCTTTGTTGGTAATATGTGTGTTATGAAGTGTCATTAAACTTTAAATACAAGATTATATATTTTAAATGGATTAATGATAATGATAATGATAATGACAATGATGAGATTAGATTAGTGGTGATATATGTGCATGTATATAGTTGTAATATGAATGATTATATGATGTTGGTATTATGTTACTATTTGAAATGTGAAATGTTCATGCATAGTTAAATATTTAGAGTTTTGATTATATGTGTTTTATGCCTCACTAAGTCATCGACTTAGCATATGAGTGTTTCACACGTAGGTTCCGGAAAGCGAGAAGAAAAGCTAAGAGGAGCAAGACAGGTCAGATTCTCCTTTACAAAGATCAGATCAGAAATGTATTTGAATACATGTATTTATTACATACAATGTAGTTGGCATGTTGTCTAAAGATTTGAATTGTTTAAACTCTGATATGTTTTGTAAAACCAATTGATTTTAATTAAGGTAAAGTTTTTATTTTCTTGAATTGTGAATTTAAATTTTTAACCAATTTGTAAAGAAAAACGCTTTGAAAAGTCAATGTGACACCTCAGACTCAGATCCAGGTCAGATACGAGTTGAGGGTGTTATAGTACCAATTTTTGGGCACTTGTGGGCGTGTTAATCCTTCCCCACTCGTAACTGACTCTCGAACCTGATTTCTGGATTTTCGTAGAATTTAAAACTCGGTATTTTGATAAAAATAAAATGTTTTATTAAAATCACCCGGTTTTTATGGTGTCCCAATCGCACCTTAAATGATTGGTGGCGACTTCTCACATTTCGAAACCCTTTTCAAAGAAAACCCCTGAGTCGGTATCGATTTTTCCCCGCCTGGGCAAAAACGGTGTCGACAACTTGCATATGATTCAGAGGGTCATGCTTCTTCTGTTCTTTGAGCTGGTACTGATGAGGTCAGAATATCAGTTGCAATCGTTGTTTCAACGTAAATCTTCACCATATTATTATTTGATGATTGATGAAGTCCAACCATAACAGCGACATCGTCACCATCATTAAGCTAGACTTTCATATGTGATTGGATTTGAGGATATTAGGTGCTGATAACTTAAACATGAAACAGAAGCTCCAAGTTTTCTCTCAATTTTTTACTTCATTTGGCGATGAGATACATCTACAGGGAACATCATATTGATGGGCCTGTGTGACTTAAACACAACACAAACATCAGTTTGTAGAATTTTACCATTATAATGGACAATTGTGAAGAATTTGTTGCTCATTATTTGAAATGATTTTGGTTAGAAGAAAGAAGTTTGTTGTGATGAAAGGAGTGTTTTGTGTGTAGGAGATGAAATGAGTGTGTTATGTATGTTAAATTTTTAGCCGTTGGAACTCGTCATGTCGATGTGACGAGTTCCATTGAATTTTTTTAAAAATATTGCCCGTTCAATAACGGTCAATCTAAAGGTCAACAAATTCAAATTTTTACCCGTTGGAACTCGTCACACCGGAGTGACGAGTTCCATCAGTAATAAAATAATCTTTTTAAATGCTTTTAAAAAAAAATTAAAATATATTTTTTATTGAATATATTAAAATAATTCAGGCTATGGGACCCACATGACACGACCCATTAAAAAAATATCTCATGGAACTCGTAACACTGGAATGACGAGTTCCATGGTCGTATCATTTGCCCTAGATTCCAAAATAAATTTTTTGTTACCTTATTGGGCCAAATAATTCACCCGCTTGGATTATTGGGCTAAAAAATGTCATACTAACTCAGATTTCGTTGAATGTAGGCTTGTCAAGTCCGTTGCTATTAATGTTTTAACGATTTAGGGATTAAAATGAAAGTTTTTTATTTCAACAATAAAAATGAAAATGTACAAAAAGTTCATACGCGGGAACAGGTAATACTTTTCTTGGCAAAATGTAATGTGAGGCCTCGTAATTTTTCAAAAAAAGTAATGCTACTCTCGTGCTTTTTAAAAAAACTAATGAATATCATTTTTTTATACTTAATGTGGCCCTTAAATTTAAAAAATAAATCTAATATAGTCTTTTAACCAACAATTTTAGTCGTTGACAATTATGATACTGACCTAAAACTTAACAGTACTAACGTGATGATCCATGGTGGTTGGTGACGTGACGGATGATGTCGTAGATGGGTTAAATTGGTTTTTTTGATCGAGTTCAAGAGTTAAATTGAGTTTTTTTTAAAGTTCAAGGACTTATTCGATTTTTTAGAAAAATTAAAATATTTTAAATTTAAAATACACAAATTTTTTTTAAAAAATAAATATCAAAAATAAAAATTAAATTACTAAAAAAATTAAAACTCTAAATATCTTTCGAATTTGATTTCACTAAATTTTATAAATATTATAAAGTCTTATAAAAAATAAAATTTAAAAGTTATAAAATTAAAATTTATGTATAAATTATCATGAAAATATATAATTAAAAAATATAAAAAATAGTTATAAAATTAAGAAGAGCATTTTAGTGAATATAACATGATAGAAGAAAATAAGATTCACACAAACTTGATTTAAAAATAGTAATAGGAAAATTGTTGTACCTTGTCAATTTCTGTTAAATACAACTCTATAAAGTCAAGTAGATATAAACTCCACGTGATTGAGATATTTTTATTATCATTTTTATTTTTATTTTTTAAGGAATAATAAATTATAAAATAAAACTCAGATTAGAATTGACATGTATGAACATAATAATATAATTATACTGCTAAATAAAATAAAAGTTCACATTAGAATTAATCTCTAAATTGAATGAATCATTTAACAATAATATTTTCAACTACTCTGATTAATATATATATTTAATATTTTTAGTAATTTAATTTTTATTTTTAGCATTTTTGTATTTAATTTTTATTAATATATACTTTGCTTTTATATAAAAATATAATATAAGATTTTTATGTAATTAAAATTTAGATTTGAACTCGAGATTCAATTGAATTAAGTCTTTGAATTTTTTGAGTCAAGTTAAATAACACTCAAACTTGATTCGACTAGTTTACAATCCTACTTAATGGTTAAGCTTTGAATCCCTTTACAAAGGGCCTCATATTCGAGTCCCATTCATCCAAGTTAATTCTTTATATTTTCATCATTTTCTAAATAATAAAACAGTATTAATTCATTAAAGAAAATGACATATATCACACTAACTTTGATTTCGTTGAATGTAGGCTTGTCAAGTAATGATTTAACGATTTAGTGACTAAAATGAAAGTTTATTTATTTCAACAATTAAAATAAAAACGTCCAAAAGTTTATATACCATCAATGTAAATTTCCAGGAATATTAAATCCACTAGTTGCACTTCATGCAGACGCGGAAACAGGTATTGGTTTCTTTTTTCAATAAAATACGGAAAGTCAAAACTAAACAACTAATTCAAAGAATGGCAATCTTGTAATAATGTACAAAACTAAGCCTAATTTAACTAACTATAACGATAAATATCAATTACCTGTAAGCAAATTAAAAAAGTACACACAAAAACAAAGAAAAAGCTCTCTTTGCCCAGAAAATTTTCCGAAATATGTCCGGTGGATACCCTCAACACCCTCCCGGCTACGGGTACGGCGCCCCGCCGTCTCAGCCGTACACAGCCGCTCCATACACCGCCGGCGCTCCGACTCCGCCTCATCCGTACGACGCTTCGACTCCGCCTCAGCCGTACGGCTCTCCGACTCCGCCTCAGCCGTACGGCTCTCCGACTCCACCTCAGCCGTACGGCTCTCCGACTCCGCCTCAGCCGTACGGCGCTCATACTACGCCTCAGCAGTACGGCGCTCATACTACGCCTCAGCCGTACGGCGCTCCATACGGCGCTGCACCATACGGTGCACCTTCTGCTCCCTATTCTGCCCCTCCGGGCGGGAAGCCACCAAAGGACAAGCCCCAGGCGCATGGCTTCGGCGGTGCTCCTCCAGCACACGGCGGGAGCTATCCTCCGATGGGAGGCTATGCGAGCCCGTTCGCAGCTCTGGTGCCGTCGGCGTTTCCACCGGGGACAGATCCTAACATCGTGGCTTGCTTTCAAATGGCCGATCAAGATGGAAGTGGATTCATCGATGATAAGGAGTTGCAGAGAGCGCTTTCTTCGTATAATCAAAGCTTTAGTCTCAGAACTGTTCGTTTGCTCATGTATCTCTTCACTAATACTAACACCAGGAAGATCGGTGAGTTTCCTTATTCATTCATCTTACTTCTTTCACTTCTTTTTTCCCCAATTGCAATTCGTTAGGTTAATTTTTCAAAAAAAAAAAGGAACATTGGAATATAGTAGCGTAATTGTATTTGTACAGACGAAGATGACTTAAACAACCCTTTCGTGTTCCATCGTAGATTATGCCACTTGTTATTAAAATTTGACAAGTACTGCGTGGGTATTTTGGTCCATTTGAAGCGTGTTAGGAAGATATTTTCACAAGTATCTACTGCTTGTCTATTTTCGCATACTGTGGAAAGATAACGTGGGTCGTTACTGGGGTTTCATTAATGATTAATTAATTAGTTTATTTAATTTTGTTTATTGCGGGCATCAGATTTGAATCTTATAAGAGTTAACTGGATCGTATGTCCCCAAATTATAATCCTCATTTTAAATTAGTTTTAAACTTTTGAATATTCTAATTTCATCCCTAAATTATGACTTATTTTAAATTAGTCCTTAAAATTTTTAATATTATAATTTTATCTCTAAACTATGACCCTCTTTCTAAATTAGTCCTCAAACTTTTGAATATTTCAATTTCATTCCCAAATTCATCCAAATATGTAATTAGTTTCAACAATAGTTTAACTTAAATTTTGTTTTTTAAACATATAATAATATAACTTGGGTTAGTAATTTTATTAACAAGGGATGTGATTAGTATATACGTATGGTTTAGGATGAAATTGGAATGCTCAAAAAGTTTGAAGACCAATTTAGAATGAAGGTCATAGTTTGGGATGAAATTGAAATGTTCAAGAGTTTGAGGATTAATTTATAATGATAGTCATAGTTTAGGGATGAAATTAGAACATTTAAAAGTTTAGGGATTAATTTAAAATGAAATACATAATTTGAGGACATATAATGCAATTAACTTGTCTTTTAATACTTTGAGGACATATAATGCAATTAGGATAAACTACGTATTAATTCACTCAATTATTATTTTAGTTGTGTTCAAATTATTATTCTTTTTCTAAAATCTAAATGTTTTAGTCACCTATTGTTAATTAATAGTGATGTTGACGTATTACCATAAAGTAATGCTATGTTATCATTGAAAAAATCAATTCGGGTTGAATAAATATGATTTCCCCCCTAAAAACTGAGGTCAACAATTAAATTGAATTTTACTGTTTAAGGGTGTGTTTGGAAAGCCACGTGAGCTTAATTATAGAATGGTGGTGTGTTACTGCAGGCCCATCTTCTTTAATTCTTAGGGGAAATGTAATTACACTCATTAAGTTTATAATTAATATTATTTTAAAATTCAAACTTTAATTACAATTTATACTACTAAACATGACATAGAGAATTGCAATAATTATATTTCGCCAGTCAAATATATCCAAGGAGCTAGAATTCTTTGTAAACATGCAAATGTAATTTACTTCAAATGATTTTTGTACTATTCTTGCCTAGTCCTGTATATGATATAGGTGAACATACCCTTTTTTTATCAACATTTTAACTAGTTGTCTCCCATGAAAATTTCTGAATGCAGGTCCGAAGGAGTTCATTTCTGTGTTCTTTAGTCTTCAGAATTGGAGGGTAATTTACATCCCTTCTATTTGTTTATAAAAAGGTTGTTTGTCTTGATTGCCCTTACGGTTTATTCAGCTAAAGAAAGGGGTTTGTTGCAGGCCATCTTCGAGAGATTCGATCGGGACAAGAGTGGAAAAATCGATGTCAATGAACTCAGAGAAGCACTTTTGAATCTAGGATTTGCAGTTTCTCCGGTTGTGTTGGATTTGCTTGTCTCAAAGTTTGATAAAACTGGAGGCAAATCCAAAGCCATTGAATATGACAACTTCATCGAGTACGATCACTGTTATATGGCGTTGAATTGAATTACTCGATATCATATAATCATGATCAGTTAATGTATATAAACATCATCTAATATATCTTTTCCCTTTCCTTCTTTTTGGATGCAGGTGCTGCCTTACAGTTAAAGTAAGCTCTCTTATTCGTACTTCATCTCTTCATCTTACTCGATGGGTGATCGGTTTTTAATCTATGTTCGGCTCTTGGTTTGATTGTGTAGGGACTAACTGAGAAATTCAAGGAGAAGGACACGAATTTCAGCGGTAACGCGACGTTTACTTACGAAGCCTTTATGCTCACCGTTCTGCCATTCCTGATTGCATAAATCAATAGATTATGAAAGCAAAACGGTGTGTTTGTTGATTTCCCTTTGAACTTGTGTGTTTAACTAGGTTTTTCTTTTTTGCTATATATTGACATATAGCTAAAATAAAAGATGTATTTCACTTGTATTAGCACTATTTTGAAGTTGATTCCAATGGCCAGTTTATGCGGTTTTCATGCTTTCTTGTTGCTCGTGATGAGTTTTGTTCACATTTAGTGAAGGCATAATGTCAAAAGTAGCTCACAATGTTTATCAATATGGTCATTTTGACTCGTAACCTTTTTTTTAAAGTATTTTAATTTTATTTTGGGGAAAAAATTCTCTATAAATGAAAATAATTAATTTACACATGATTAATGCTTCATGATAGGAGTATTTTTTAACCTAAAATGAAACGTTGAGAGTTAAAATATTTCAAAAAAAATAAAGATCAAAGTGATTATTCTGTCAAGGTTAGAGGGTTTTTTGTCTAAAATAAAATGTTGGAATCAAAATATTCTAAAAATCGGATAGGGGCAAAATGATAATTTTGATAAATAATAGACTAATATTGATATTCTGTCATCTTTATACTATCAATCAACCATTGACATTGTAAAACAATTGTGGGGGGGGGGGGGAAACTGCAACCATTGCCATTGTTGACTACCCACTTTTGATCATGTATAAGAAAATGCTTCAAGATATGACGTTTTTGAAAAAAGAAAAAAAAAACAAATAAAGATGTTGATTCTCCTCTCTTGAGGACATGTTTAAAATATCTCTTGAGATATGTTTTGAAACTTAATTCGTTTACTTTGGAACTGTTTCTCTTGAAATTTTATTTGTTTCCCTTATACTTTTTATTGAAACCAAATTTTGTGTCTAGATCTAGTAAAGTTAACTGTATCCGATTATCCGAATCGATTTACTTGATCCGAGACATGATATAGACCCAAATATGATGGTTCAAAATTGATCCGAAACCCGAAATAAACCGAATCGAACCAAAACTGACCTAAGTTTTAGTTAAATCGAAAACAACCTGAACCAAAACAACCCGAATAGAAATCAATCCGAATCAAAATAACCCAAACCGAAAGTAACCCAATTTTAATTTACCTATATCCGATCCAAATCGAACTTCGATCCGATTTTAACCCAATAATCGAGTCTAAGTAAAGGAATAAATTCTTATTATTATTATTATTATTATTATTATCTATTTAATAATTTGATAAATAGTAAAATGATGCATATTTTATTCTCATTTGTATTATACCACTACTTAACCATTAGTCTATCACCTTTAATAATAGTTGAATGGTTCAATATAACATTTCCTCATTTAAAATATCTTCTTTGTATATGATCCAATAATTTTTAAATTATTTAAAAATTATATCAATATTCATTCAAATATAATTATTATATTATTATATTATTTTTTAATTATGTAAATATTATATTTATAATTAAACATCAAACATCTAATTAAAATTTTTAATTGAGAATAAAATTTATAATTTAAAATTTAATTCTTCACGAAATAGGTTTCACCACAAACTTTTTAGGTTAGATCAATATGAAATTCAAATCACAAAATTTAATGTCTTACAGGTTCGGGTCAAATTGTCATCCATAAATCATAATGTTATTTAAAACATTGAATGTTGAAAGTTGAACTTGAACCTAAATGATAAGGTTGACAAATAAAAATATTTTTTTCTTATAAGAATATATCAATAATAATTGATATATATTTGATTGGACTCATACTTAACTTAACCCAAATTGACCCGAAAATCTAAATATTGACCCGAATTGAGACTGTTCAATCTGATATTGGTCCGACCCGAAAATTGATCAATCCGATATTGAACCAACCCAAAAATTGATCAATCTGATATTGACCTGACCCGAAATCAACCGATCTGGTATTGACCCAACTCGAAAACCAACCGGTCCGACATTGACCCGACTTGAAAACCAATGATTTGATATTAATCTAACCTGAAAACCAACTGATTTGATATTGACCTGATCTGATACCCGATCTGTTGAGTTAATCGATTGACGAATATGGCCAAGAGGGGGGTGAATTGGCAATTAAAATTTTGGTGGAAGCTTTTGCAGAAAATTGAAAGTAATTGCACAGCGATTTAGAGTGGTTCGACTTTATCAACCAAAGTCTACGTCCACTACCTTAGCTATCCACACTAAGGATTTTCCACAAATTCACTAATTTGTCTTTCTTTTGAGGACAAAGAGTAACCTTACAATCCCTCAAGAATTATACCCCAAATTCTTGAGAACACTCTCTCCCAAAAGAACAATACAAATTTTGCAAACTTACAAGGAAATCCTCACAAGGTAGATTGTTTGCACAATTCTATAACAAAAAAAAGAACACTCAAAGATGGATACAATTGAGCACAAAAAGTGTTCTTGAAAGCAAAATGAATATTGAATGAAAATAGGCTTGAAATGCTCAAACTTGAGGTTTGATGCTTTCTCTTTGATTCTCTCTTGATTCTAGTTGCTTGATGTTTCTTGTTGTTGATCAATGGCTTCTAAGCTTGCTTAAATACACCTTGAATCACTTCTGAACGTTGGGGATGATTAGAGAAAATAATATAGCCGTTTTAGTGTGAAAACAATTAATAAAACAGTTTGGAGCGTGGGGGGAATCGGTACCCCCTATGGGGAATCGGTTCCCTAACTGTAAAATTCAAATATTTTGACTGTTGAACAGGGGGAATCGGTACCCCCTATGGGGGAATCGGTTCCCTCCGAGCATTCTGGAAATCTCAGAGCCAAACCATTCAGGGGGGAATCGGTACCCCCTTGGGGGGGAATCGGTTCCCTCTGAGCAATCTGGAATTTTTGGCTTTGAAATGGTTCAAAATACTTTGAAAGATTATTTTGAAATTGTTTTAAGATTAAAACTTAATTTTACACTTAAGTAAGGATTAAAAATGATTTTTGAAATATTTTGAGTAATGTTTTGATATTCGAATAATTATATCGAATATACTTAGAAAATCATTTTGGAAAATCTTAAAATTCATTTAACTTAATTTGTTATATCGAAATATCAAAATGTTTTCAACAATCTCCCCCTTTTTGATATAACAAAACATTTTAGTAATTTTAAGATTTTGAAATCAAGTTTTGAAATTACTCCCCCTTACTTTAACACTTCTCCCATTTATCATTTTAAAAACACACTTAAAACACACTTCTCTCCCTTTTTGTTAAATCAAAAAGATTCAAATAAACGTGAAAAATATTAAGCCAATTGATTAGGTATATGTATGCATAAGCTGCTAAGATCACAATTAAGAGAAACGTTAGCCATTAGTTCCGTAATCAATATTCATAAATAATGTGATATGGAAAAATTGGTCATATTGCTAATAATGATGTAAATGATGCAATAATAAATAAATCACACCAAACATATAAGTTCAAACCATCCATAAATCCAAACAAATTCACAATCCTCAAATTCAAACATCCCAAAATATTCAAAATGTTAAAACAATAAGTTTGGAAAACAAAGTAAAACATTTAATCATATATCCGGATTAGGAGGAGGAAAACGAGCTCGCATAGCGGCCATTTCGTTAGTGAGGTCATTAATACGTGCATTGGTTTCTTCATTATTTGCACGCATTTCCCGAAGAATTTCTAATTGTTGAGCTCCCATTGTGGATAAATGGGACTCTATATAAATAAAGCGCGAATCTATGGTCGCATATCGGTAATCAAATGTCTCCATAAAAGATTGAAAATATGGAGGCATTTGAGTAGATTGTTGTGCTTGCTCTTCGGGCTGCTCCTCGGCCTGCTCAGGTTCAGCTTCAGCTTCATCGATGTCTCGCATTAGTTGCTCAAGCTCGAGATCTTCGTCAGCTTCGGGTGGAGCTTGTGAAGAACTAGCTCCCGGAGTAGTTGCAGAAGTTCGAACCCATTCCCCGGTTTCCTTATCCTTAATCCATCCCGCTCTCGTTAAGGAAAGAAGGTTAATTTGTTTCTTAAGAGGAAAAACGGCATCTAGACCGACTCTAAGCCCAGCTTTGGAAAACAGATTACTCAAAATACAACCGTAAACAAGAGATGAACAAAGTTTTTTATTAGGAACAAGATTTACGGTTTCAACAATTTCAGCAAAAATAATCTGAGGTAGGTTGATTTTAATATCGTTTTCGAAACAATGTAACCACCAAAGATCTAAGGCTCTAAAAGTAGAATAACGACCTCCAGATGGTCGAAACCACCAAGAAATCATTAGATGAAGAAAACGTTCATGAAGGTCTAGGACACTTGCATATCCCTTCTTTTATAACGAGATCCTAAACCTGTTTTTCATTTGAAATCCCTTCATTATCTAATCCGAATGTATTGGCTTGTAAGCCGAGTCAATATATAAGAATTGTCCTAGAAGGTAGGAACGAATTCCTATGGTTTCGGTTTCAGTTTGGTCTTTAACACAAACGGCATTAGAATAGAAAATACGAACAAGTTGATGGTAAACGATGGGTTCAAGGTCAAAGAGTTTATCAAATTTCCACTCTTGTAAAAGAGGAAGATATTTAAAATTGATAGCTAACATAGCTTGACGAGAAGGAATACGTTCTTCCCGGATTTTGTAAGAGTCGAAATATTGATAATACCAAAAATGATGATTTCTAGGACCAGGATGATTGAAACACGAATTTTGGATAGTCAAATTAGGATCAATAGGATTAGGATTAGAAATTGGAATAGGTGGAGGATTTGGAGGTGGATTTGGTTGTCGGTGTGAACGACTAGATGAAGACCTAGCACGCTTAGGATTAGACATGGTGAAGGAAATCGGAATAGATTGGATAACCTGCAATTTTAAAAACAAATGTATGCAATTCAATTAATCCCAAAACTCAATTGAGTCCTCAATATTTCAAGGTTCTCTAAATCAATCCTAATGGGCAAAGTTTTTGAAAAACTTTTAAAAAAATATGGTTTTGAGAAACAATATATGTATAGTTTTCATA